ATATATATATATATATATATATATATATATATATATATATATACTATTTAGTTGTCATATAACGTATAAAAAAATATATTATAGATAAATAAAATACTTAGTATTTTGTTAAGTATATTTAGGAAAATATAAGAAAATATATGTATATATAGGTAAATATAAATTTATATTGAAATAAAAAAACATTTACCTAAATACATGGCTTAAAAAATGCTTAATGTTAATCCCTTGAAATGTGTATTACATACCTACCATATATAAACATTTCCTGAGGAAAGAAACGGCTAAAACATTTATTCTCAAGATTAATAGAATTAATGTATCTACCATATATAAATGAAAAACATAAGAAACTGAGAAGTGGAAAAAAGAAAATCAAAAAAATCTTAAAAAATAACATGTGTAAAATGTAATGAAAGGATGACATGTAATAAATTATTTTCATTTATTAGGGTAGATATGAATCATGAATTATATGAAAATATTCTTTTTTCATTCATTAATCTTCATTATTAACTATTGATCAATATTTTTATTATTAAATACTAGATATGTTGCTCATGCTCCGCATGGGCCATGTGCGTTTGATTTGAGTGTTGTTTTTGTTAAAAGATGCAAGTGAGATAATTCGACCCCTAATTTTTACAGATGGATACAACTAGATAGAAGGTAGGAAAAAACAAAAAAATTAAATATGAGGACCAATATAGAAAAGATATACCAAAAGAAGAAAATGACAGACGACAGAAAGTCCCGGGCCGTTTTTTGTGTTTTTATGAAAAAATATAAAAATTTTGACTGCAAGGACCAAAAGTGTCAAAATGGCCAAAGAATTAAAGGTGTTGGAATCAACAAGTTTTTAGAAAAGGGACAAAAGTTGTCAATTTTTTAATGTTTTGTGGCCAAACTTTGAATATTAAAAGGTTCCAAAAAAATATAAAAGTTTTGATTGCAAGGACAAAAAATGTCAAAATGGCTAAAGAATAAGGGACAAAGTTGACAAAAAGCATACAAGAATCAATTCAAGAAAGTTATGTGGCCAATGCAAAGAAACGAAATAAAAGTGTCAAAAGTTTAAAAACATAAAAGTTTGGTGGCGAAAATCAGAAAAGCAAAAAGTGTACTATTCTTAAAGGAACTCTCTCTCTCTCTCTCTATATATATATATATACACATCATTCTACTTACAAAAGAAAACTTATTTCAACATTCTACTTCTAATTTTTACTATTTTAGCATTGTATTTTTAAAGTCTAATTACTTCTCCTTGTTTGTGTGGCTTTTGTGTGTAAATTTAATAAAGTACAATAACATTCTATTTTGAAAGTATATTTTTGTAATACAAATAAACCAAATTTATAAAAGTCATACCATTTTATCATTGCATTTTCATAATCTTTCATATTTTCTATATTTTGTTATATTTTATTTTGTTATATTTTAGTATTATATTTTCTATAATTTAGTATTATATTTTCTATATTTTTCATATTTTAACAATGTAGCTTGACTTTCAAGTACTAGAAATGATATCTTGTATAAATAAAAAATATATACACAATATTAGGAGTCAAAGGGCCAAGGGGAATGGGCTTTAGACTACTGAATGAGGCATAGGTCAAATGTACAAGTTGCAATATGTTGCAATATGCACACACTAACAAAAAAATTAGTAATAACATAAAGTTACACACACCCTATAAGTTCAATCCTTGATATATATCTTCTAAATTCGCTTGGTAGGTTTAGTTGTAAGCCCATATCCAAATGGATACAACGGATCATAATGTGAATCGCCAACATTCATCGGGAGCTGATCAACAGTCTTGAACCAAGTATGTGCTAGTTTGCCCGTAAAACCATAGTCACCATACAGAACATCGGTGACACCTTGGCCTTCAGTCCCTGGAAGCCATGCAGCCACCAAAGCATCCATGATAGGAACATAAGGTTCGATCACAACAGGTCTACCTGAGATTAGGACAACAACACACTTCACCAACACACACACGTTCATGATAGTTGTGGGCCCAGGTTCTGGTATCGTTAGATTCTGGCTGTCTCCGGCTGACTCCGAGTATGGGAACTCACCCGTTACCACAATGGCGTATGAGAAGTTGTTTGACTTGATAAAATCAGGAGTCGGGTTTTCTACATATAAAACTTGTGTTGTAGGGTCAACCGTGTTTTTCACGGCAGATAAAATGGTCGTACCTATTGTTTATTTCCATCATGAAAAATAGTTACTTTCATGTAGCTTATTATACTTTATACACATATAGAAAAAAGATGGCAACACAAATTGCATATATACCTCTTGTTATATTGCCACTTTTCCCACGCCATTCAATGGTCCAACCACCACACTGATTACCAATATCATCAGCATGGGTGCCCACCACCAAAATTTTAGTCGACTTTTTTGGAAGAGGAAGCATTGGTTGGTTGACGAATTTACCGTTCTTTAGCAAGACTAAAGATTTCCTTACTGCCTCCCTAGCCAAATCTCGATGATCCTGTTTTATATCCAAAAAAATAAATCAGATTATCGGTTGGTAATTAAGGTCTTCCTTCCAAAAAACGATGATTCCAACCTGCTCTCCAAGATATTTCGCCATGCTTAGATCTGTGAATGGGTTCTCAAACAGACCCATTACAAACTTGACGCGTAGAATCCTCTTTACTGCATCATCAATCCGACTCATTGGGATGAAATTATTCTTCACAAGGAAAGTCATCTCATTGATGAATTCAGTGTAGTTGGAGCCAATCATCGCCTGCAAAACTTTTGACTAAATTAATAAAACAAAAAAGACAAAAAGTCTAAACTTATGTTTGCGTATTCATTATTCAACCGACCATGTCTAGGCCAGCCGTAATGCTTTGTTGAATGGACCAAGTGTAATTAGCATGAGGCGGATCTGTCAGCCGGTCGATACCGAAAAAATCTGAGATCACAAATCCCTACAAAACATCCAATAATAAAACATGAAAACATCTCTATGCATATGAAACCAAGATCTTGAAAAGCATAGGCGAAACTAAAAGACGAGTTCTTTAATTACTCTAAATTTGAGAGTGTTCTTTAGAAATCCAGTTATAAGTGGACCATTTCTATGCATTTTGACTCCATTCCAGCTAGAGTAAGAAATCATGACGGTTGTAACACCCTTCCGTACTGCATCAAAGTACGGTGGCATATGAATGCTCAATAAACCATGAAAATCTATGACTGTATTGTTCTCATTGATGCCTCTTGTCGTTCCACCATCACCCACATAGTGTTTGGCGCAAGATGCAATCTTTTCTCTGTAAAATGAAAAATCTTAGACCCAATTAATCCACGAAATTATAACGCTAGAAAGAATCCTACTGATCTGTGGCAGGGGGATCGAGCTTGTGATTAATCAAAACTTACTGTCCGCCAACAAAAGGAACACCTAATCGACCGTCGCTAGGAATGCTTCCTTGAAGTCCAGGTATGATCTCAGTCATGGCTCGAACAATATTAGGATCTTCACTAAAGCTCTCGAAGCAACGACCCCATCTTGGATCTCTACATACCGCAACACAAGGTGCAAAGGCATAGTTGATGCCAGTTGCTCGAACTTCAAGAGCAGTCGCAGCTCCAATTTTCTTCACCAATTCAACGTCCCTATTCCACATGCAAAAAAGAAATGTCGTTAATTATTAAAGAAATTTTTTGTTTAAAAAGGACTCAAACGTTAAACAAAACAAAATTCCACTTGCCTAGTTACTCCAAGGCCAATATTATGTGGGAAAATAGTGGCATTATAAACTCTACTATTGCCATGGACAGCATCAATTCCATACATCAGGGGAATACCCAAACGAGAAGACAATGATTTTCTTTGGAAATTGTTGATCATGTTAATCCATGCCTGCGGACTCGATGGGTCTTGAGATGAAGGGATCGCTGCATTGGTCAATAAACTCCCTACGGAAGATCCAAGACTCGTTAAAAAATAAAAACAAAACCTTTAAATGGATTTTTAAAGTATTTAACACGAAAAAAATAGGACTAATTAATTTTGAAATTTACCTATTGAGTAATTCTGCAATACTTCTTGTGTAGCTACACGACTATCAATCTGTGTCATTTGACCAATCTTTTCTTTCAAAGTCATCCTCTTCATCAAGTCCCTTATTCGAAAACCTAATGGTTGTTTCGGGTCTTTGTACTTTATTTGGGATTCAGCAACGGTAGCCCAAGTATGTATTGCCAGAATTGCAAAAACATACAAAAAAAGTTTCGTCATTTCTTATCAACTTCAATCATATATACACTGCAATTGTTAATAAACACAATAAACACTTGATCGTAGTTGAAAATTTAACTTAAAGGAACAAACTGGACGAATAATTTTTTAGACACAGGAACCTCTTTGTCCGCCATTGATACGTAATCCATTTAACACGACCAAGCAGTTTGTATCATAATCAAAATCCAAAACAAGAACCAATATCCAACTCAAAACAATCAAAACACTGCTAATAAAGATAAAGCATTCGTAACACAAAGCACAAACATTTACCCATTTGAAAGATTGTACGTCAAAGAGAAATAAAAATAGAATCCGTGGAACTTACATGAATGGATGGAGTGGAACTCATTGGACAAGAGTAGGTGATATTTATAGACGAGTGAAAATTAAAAAAGCAAACCCATTTAACATAACCTTTAATTATTGTCATCAAACCATTTCTCAAATTACTTAATTTTATTTTTTTCCTTATCACTGCACTTAATACATGATTACGAAACACGGAAGTGTTATGCATCCACTTAGAGCATCCACAATGCATAGTTTAATGAGAGAGTTGAATGAGGTGGCATGCCTAATTGGATTAAACTCTATCATTATGGGATGTCATGTTGGCATTCAATGAATATGAAGTTCAATGGCCATTAAATTCTTCAATGGGAAAAAAGAAACCTTTTAACTATTAAATATATATTTCATTGAACTCTATTGAGTTCAATGCATTGTAGAAAAATTAATGTAGAGTTGTATAGTAAGTAAAATGATGATGTCTCAATCCATTAAGCTCTAGCTGCTCTAATAAGTTTAATGCATTTTGGATGACTTTAAGTGCTATGCATCAACCTAGTGGGAGGTATTTTCAATTTTAGGCATTTTTGCTATTTTGAGCATTTTTGCTATTTAGTTTGTTACCGTGTAGTTTTTAAGGTGGATGGAATCGCCTTCAAGGTCGTGGACCACTTCAATTGACATATCCACATGGGCAATTAGATGACCCTTTCATTTTGGACATATTTCCTTATTTAAATCGTTATTTGAAAGTTTAAGAAGCTACTATGCACAATAAAAACTTTAGTGGCCGTTTAAAACTCAAAGATAAAAATTGGTTGGACTATAATGATATTTATTATATCAATCCTTATTTTTGAGGTTATTTAAAGATCTAAAAATTTTTTTATGGTCTTTTAAGTTTAAACCAAAAGTTTTTTTTACCAAAAAACAACATAAAACTTTTTCAATCTTCTTTTCATTTTGCCCTGTTATCCGTTTCCTAAGTCACCGTCCGATAGTAAGTTTATTTTTCCCGAAAAGGCTCTCACCCTTTTTCAAAAAAAAAAAGAAAAAAAAAACCATCCTTCTTTTTTTTTTTTTGAAAAACCACATATTTGAAAACTTTTTCATTTAGTGAGACTTTGTTTTTGCTTATAATTACCATATTCTTATTTTTGTTGTTGGTTATGGTATTTTTGATGGTGGAAAATATAAGTTCCATAGTATTCGCGCTTGTTAAAATGATAAAGATGGATATTCCATTTTACATGTGATCGTTTCATCCAATAAAAGCATATCTCATTATTCTAATAAAAGAATATGTTTATTCTCTTTTTGTCATGTGTAATCGTATTAGGCATCCTAATTAATATCATGTCACTTGTCAACCTATTAATTCTCCATTTCAAATTTTAAATTTTAAATTTTCCACTCTAGTTAAATTAAATTAATAACATTATAATAAAAATTAAAATAAAGTTAATACAGATTATAAGGTCATGTATTTATTTAAATCAACGATTATAATTTTATATAACAGAAAAATATCTCTTAATTAATAATTTATTTAAAATAACTGATTATTTATGTTTTAATAGGTTATAAACTAATATATCATAAATTTAATTATTTATGATAAAGAATAACTACTGTTTAAAATAAAATAAAAGATCAATCAAGTTAAATCTAATGTATTTTTTAATAGATATGTTATATTTGTTTTGTACAATATCAAATATAATAATGATTTATTTATACTTAAAACAAACGTTAGTGCTAGGGATATAATTTACTTGTCAACCGGTAATAAATAATTAGTTTCTTTTGTATATTAAACTAATGTATGATGACTACACCTTATATTAAAATATAAAACACGATACATGTTGTAAAATACGACGGATCCAAATTGACTTAAATAATATTAGCTCAATGCGGAATGGGATCAAAAAT